AGATCCCACTCCGTGTCCCCAGTGTCCCCGTGCAGAACTCCCCTTTGTGACCTCACCCCCATCTCCATGGCCACCCTGCCAAACACTCAGCGTCAGCAGCGCTGCAGCAGCAGCAGCAGCAGCACAGGGGGAGCAGGGAAGCAGCTGGAAAATCTCAGAGCACCCAAGGTCAGTGCCTTCAAATGACACATTTTGTACCATCCCAGATTTGCCCTTTTCCCTCAGGGATTCGGGAATTCTGTGACCCTCGCGCATCCCCTGCATCAACCCCCAAAAATGACAGCATCAGCACAGCCCGTGCTGGGATTTTAGTGGATTTATTCTATTTTTTAATCCATCCGCTGGAATTTTGCATTTTTTTCCTAAAAATTGATGAGATGTATTAAGAAATGAGAATTTTAAATTACAAATATTCGCTAAAACCATTGGACTTGTCAACCCTGAATTCCAGCATTCTACACTGGCATAAATACTTCAGAAATCCAGCCAGTCCTTAAATTAATGCTTAACAATTGTTTAAAGACCTGAATCGTGTTAAATTAACGCTGATAAATATTTTAAAAAAGAGAATCTCCTGAAATTGGGRTGTGAGATACAAGTTTGGGACAGGAGACACTGCTTTGGGGTGGGAGATCCTCATTTGGGACAGGAGATCCTGGAATGGGGTGCAGCTGCTTCTTCAAACCCTGGAATCAGTGAGGGAGGAACGAGGTGTCCTTCAGCTTCCTCCTCCAAACTGCAGGAATATCTCAACATCATATGGCAAAAAAAAAAAAAAAAAAAAAAAAAAAAAGAGAGAAATCATTAAAAATGTGCATTTTTGTTTTTTTCTTGAGGCAATTCAGGATAGGAAATGCAAATCCAGGTGTAGCACCCTGAACAATTTTAGGTCAAACATTTGAACTGCTGGAAGAACCAGCACTGGGGGAAAATGCTCCCTCCAAATTGGTGTTTTTTCCTTCTGTTCCAGTTTTTCATGGTTTGATTGGGCTATAGCACCCAAATCTAAGAGGAAAGAAGAATCTGTGACTGCTGGGGAAAAAAAAWACCAAGCAAAGGATGGAGAAAAASGACGGAGAGATACGCCAAGAAATAATCGACGTGGAACCCCCACCTCGGGAGAGAAAACTGTACCTGCAGGATGAGTGCAGGATCCTGACCCAACACCTGGACACGTACCTGGGGAGAGCCAAGCAGCTCCTGCAYGACAACAAACGCCTGGACAAGGAGGCGCAGGAGATGGAGGAGCAGAACCAGGAGTACCTGGCCTGTGCCAAAAAGCGCGGGCAGGACCCCCAGGACATGCTGATCACCCTGAGCGACAGGAACTGCCTGGACCTGGCCCAGGTCCGGGCGCAGAAGGAAAAGCTGATCCCGGAATACGCCGAGAGGGAGGAGGAGGTGAGGAACGCCCTGAAGGAGACGGAGGCCGAGGCCTCGCGCGTGGACACGGAGCTGGAGGAGCTGCAGCCCTACAGGGAGCTGAAAGTGCAGGCGGAGAAAAAGGTGAAGAAGCTGGAGAAGGAATTGCGYGTCACCAGGATACGCTGTGCCGAGGAGACCAACGGCATCAGGAGCAGATTCGTGCAGGACAAGGCTGAATGTGAGCAGGAGCTGCACCAGAGGATGCAGGAGCTCACCTGGGGAGCCGAGGAGGTGGCRCTGCAGGCTCTGATCCAGCACGTGGAGCAGGTGAAAGCCGAGAACAGGAACCTGCGCCAGGAGCTGCTGGGCCTCCTGCAGCACTGCCAGGTCCTCAGGGACGCCAAAGTGCGGCTGCAGGATCAGCAGGAGCAGCTGCTCCGCGAGAACCAGTGCGCCCAGCAGGCATCGCTGCTGCTGCGATCGGCGCGGGGACCGCGCTGCCGCCGCGACAACCAGCCCCGCTCGCGCAGCCAGGGCTGGCCACTGACCCCAAACCCGTCCGGGACCTGGAGGAAATGAGCCTGGCAGCACCAAACCCTTTAGAAACAGTGGCAACACGGAGGAGATGGAGCTCCAGGCACA